TAAAGCTTGTTTTATTGGTCGAGGTGTATTATAGCTATCAACACTCAAGTACCCACTCACTACCTCTTGGTCAGAGAATGGTTTTGCCCAATTTGGTATTTTCAAGTCCAAATGGGGATTGAATAAAATAGTTGATAATAAGCTCATGTCGGGTTTTACTATCTCTAGGTTCAACCCTTTAATTGGGCTTATCAATCTCTTGATTGATCCAATTTCTTACTAGTCAAGTTTTTCTAGACTAAGTCTCTCTTTCTCAAGTAGAGACTAAGTTAAATATGCATGAAATAATATTTGCAACCATTAATTCTTCACATAAATGCAAGAACTAGGCTAGATAATCAACACCCAACCATAAACAAGCAATAAATCAAACACTCATTAAGTTTACACACTAAGGTTGGGTCACAACCCTAGTGAAAATCTAGCTACTCAAGCTTAAATTGGAAAAACAAAAGAAGAAGAAGAAGAAGAAGAAGAAGAAGAAGAAGAGGAAGAAGAGGAAGAAGAAGAAGAAGAAGAAGAAGAAGAAGAAGAAGAAGAAGAAGAAGAAGAAGAAGAAGAAGAAGAAGAAGAAGAAGTGATAATTAAACCCATATTGATAATTAAAATGATGAAATCAATATTCAAAAAGCTCAAAATAGCAAAAACTACTAAAAAGAGTAAAAGAAACCGTGCTGATATCAAAAGTTAACCTAAAAAAGTGAAACGCTTCTATTTATACAGTGCTGGAATTTTCAGACAAAAATGCCTTTTCGGGGGTTCTGCGGCCGCACAATTCCATATGAGGTATTGCTTCCACTTGACAGGATTTGAAACCTGCAGCCGCACAATTCTGAACTGCGGCCGCACTTCTCTCTTTCTGCGAACAACACAAATATATCTGCGGCCGCACTATGCTCTTCTGTGGTCCGCACAAATGTGATTGCGGCCGCATCATTCTCTTCTGCAGCCGCACAATAATTTTACGGTCCACACTCTTATTAAACTTGGGATGCAGGTTCTCTGAAGTTTGGTTTTTACCCAATTTCTGCGGCCGCACAATTTCATGTGCAGTTCACATCTTGCAATCTACTCTAATGGAATTGCTTCATGACTTGCGGCCGCAGATGGTATTCTGCGGACCGCACTTTGAGCTTTTGTGTTGTTTTTGTCTTTAAGTTTAGATTACTCCTTCTTGAATTGGATTTCATCTTTGGAGCTCATCTTCCAATATTCCTGCAATTAAACATATTTTATCAATTTTCGGGAACACAATTAAGCGCTTTTGGACTAAAACGAAAGCAAAAAGGTGCTAATAAGTAGTCAAAATCCCCACTTATCACTCTACTATACGTGTCATAGTAGACTTTCGAACCATGCATACATGGTTGTCATATTCTGGGCAGTTCGCATAAAACTCCCGAACGACCATTAAGTTGGCCTCTTCAGGTTCTTCAAAAAATATCCCCAAGCCTCGTCTGACCAATTTATGATACATATTGGGACAGTCATTTTGGAAGGACCCCATATCAATTCCCCTCTCTAGTATGGGCTTCTTTCTTGCCTTATTTTGGAATCGTTCCTGGGTTGTCCAGGAGACGAACTTGTTTTTATCATACGGGCGAGCAGTAGCAGAAGCTCGCGACCAGGATGAGCCAGCGTGACCACTTGAGGAGGCACCTGTGGTTTTTCATTTTTTGGATGGTGCCATAATACTTGTACAAATACCAAATATCAGCTAATGGCACAATCGGTGAACCAAGAGAGGCTACTCAGATTTCACCTTCACACTTGGTCACAAAATTACGCTCTCAAACTCTTTGTGGCATTTATACGAACATCTGATATGCACAGCTCTTCCGAACCCTCCCCCCCCCCCCCNTGAAATTCAACTTCCACCCCACAAGAAAACGAGTATAAATAGAAAGAAAACACCAACAAAAATCTACTACAATACAAGAAAAAGAAAAGAAAATAAACTAAGAAAAGAGGGAGAAATCATCTCACTTACCTGAGGTAAAACTTGTGAGGATGTGGTGAGGGGATAAGAGGAAAGATGGCACTGGCGTTGATGGTAGTATTGTACTCTTAAGAGAGGATATGAGAGAAGGGGGTGGGTTAGGGTTATGTAGTGTAGGTGATAGAAAGGGGATATTTTAGAATTGGGGGTGTTAAGAAAGGAAGGTTCGAAATTAAAAAGAAAAAGAGCAAAACTCAGCCAGTGCGCGGCCGCGCAAGTGAGGCAGAACAAGGCTAAAAATGCGTGGTAGGTGCGCGGTCAGTGCGTAGCCGCGCACGTGCCGCCTCAGCTATCGTAAATTTTTGCGCGACCAGTGCGCAGTGTCACCCCCCAGGTGCGCGGTCGCGCATATAATCTTTAAAAAAAACTTTTTTTTTTGAAACCTCACTTCCTACCTTCCATGACATGTACCCTCCTGCACCTACTACATCATAATATACACTAATTTCTATCTATTCTACACTATTAACAAAAGTGAAACAGAAAAAAAAAATCTAACTAGTAGAAGGGTTAGAGGTAGTTCTGAGTATCGTCAGCTTGACTCAACCGGGCATCCTCAATTGATTTTGATGCTCGAGGATTGCTGCGCAAATCCTTCAGCAAGATACAATTTTAGTTTGTGCCCATTTACTTTGAAACTTTTTGTTCCGTCCTGGTTCTGGATCTCAATTGCCCCATATGGTGATACATGTTTCAACACATACGGTCCCGTCCATCTAGACTTGAATTTTTCGAGAAATAATTTGAGTCTACTATTGTATAGTAAGACTTTGTCCCACTCATAAAACTCCTTTGGTTTAATTAGACGATCATGCCATCTTTTAGTCTTTTCCTTGAAAATCTGCGCATTTTTATACGCGTCCAATCGAAACTCCTCCAATTTGTTCATATGTGCCAACCTGTGATCACCTGCAAGGCTAAGATCAAGAGTAAGCATCTTAATTGCCCAATAAGCCTTATGTTCTATCTCAACAGGTAGGTGACATAATTTTCCATACACTAATTTGAATGGTGAAGTCCCTATGGTTGTTTTGAACGCAGTTCTATACGCCCATAGAGCTTCATCCAACTTTACAGATCAATCTTTATGAGAAGCACTAACCGTCTTTTCAAGAATTCGTTTAAGTTACCGGTTGGCCACTTCAACTTGCCCACTAGTTTGGGCATGGTACGAGGTTCCTGTTTTGTGTGTGACCCCATACTTGGATAGCAGTGCAGCAAACTGCTTGTTCAGAAAATATGACCCATTGTCACTGATAATCACTCGAGGTGTCTCAAAGCGGGTAAAGATATTTTTCCATAAGAACTCACTCACCACCCGAGCATCATTGGTCCTAGTAGGGATTGCTTCGACCCATTTAGAGATGTAGTCAACGGCTACTAGGATATACTCATCAGAATGCGACGTTGGGAATGGACCCATGAAGTCAATTCCCCAAACGTAAAACATTTCACATACCAGAATGGAGTTGAGAGGCATTTCGTCCCTCTTGCTAATATTACCTGCCCTCTGACACTTGTCACATGCAGCTACATATGCTCTTGAGTCTTTGTACAAAGTAGGCCAAAAGAAACCAGCTTCCATGACTTTTGCTGCAGTGCGATTTCCACCATAGTGTCCTCCAGCTGCTCCATCATGGTAATGAGACAAAATGCTCGCCATCTCTCCTTCAGGCACGCATCTTCTAATCATACCATCTGCACACAGTTTAAACAAGAAAGGGTCATCCCAAAAATAACTTTTTACCTCACCTTGAAGTTTCCATCTTTGATCACGAGTGAGGTCAAGAGGCAACCATCCACTAGCCAAGAAGTTGGCTACATCAGCATACCACGACAGCCTTTTAGAGACCGCAGCTATGGAGAAAATCTGCTCATCAGGGAACTCTTGACTTATTTCAATTGGTTCGACCGACGGCTTCTCAAGTCGAGATAGATGATCTGCGACTTGATTTTTTATGCCCTTCCTATCTTTTATCTCCAAGTCAAACTCTTGGAGCAACAACACCCACTGCATCATACGTGGCTTGGACTCCTTCTTACTCAACAGGTACTTCAAGGCTGAGTGATCAGTGTGTACAATCACTTTACTCCCTACAAGGTATGATCTAAACTTGTCAAAAGAAAAAACCACAACAAAGAACTCTTTCTCAGTAATGGTATAGTTAACTTAAGCATCATTCAGCGTTAGAGAATTGTCCTGGGCCATAGTTAACTTTGTGCTCTGATGGGCAAGTGAATGTGGTCTTCTCAACATTTTTTGGGGCAATGAGTATCTGATTATAGCCCGAATACCCATCCAGGAAGCAGTAGCATCTGTGTCCAGCCACTTTCTCGAGCATTTGATCAATAAAAAGGAGTGGGAAGTGGTCTTTCCTTGTTGCATCATTCAGCCTTCTATAATCAATGCACATTCAATGACTGTTCTTGTGGGGATTAACTTATTGTCTTCATTTTTCACCACTGTCATGCCTCCCTTCTTAGGTAAAACTTGTACTAGACTAATCCATTAGCTGTCAGAGATGGGGAAGATCACTCCCGCATCTAGCAATTTGATGATCTCCTTGTACACTACCTCTTCCAAATTCTTGTTCAGCTTGCGTTGGGGCTGCACCACTGGCTTGCTATTTTCTTCCAATAGAATTTTGTACATGCAAATGGCTGGACTGATTCCTTGAATATCAGCTATGCCCTAGCCAATGGCCTTCTTATGCTTTTTCAGCAGCTCCACCAGCTTTTGCTCCTGTGTACCTGTCAAGTCAGCAGAAATAATCACAGGAAAATTGTTAGTTTCAATAAAAGCATATTTCAAGTGAGTGGGTAGGACTTTCAATTCCACATTAGGCTTAGAAGCCTTCTCTTTTAGTTCCTCCTCATCAACCACTTGATTCTCAGTTTCAAGAGCTTCAGCCTCTTTCTTTATTTCAGGATCTCCATCCTCCACTGTGCTAGACTGAGTAATACACCCCTCTAGAGTATCTCCCATAAGCTTGTCTAACTTTTATTTTTTAGCTAATTCCCCTACAATATCTAGCTTGAAACACGAGTAGGCGGACATCTCATCACTGAGGTATTTCATTATCCTCCTCATCTGAAACACCACTTTTTCATTGCCCACTATGAGCATAAGCTGCCCCTCATAGATATCAAGGATAGCTCTACCTGTACATAAAAATGGCCTCCCCAGAATTAGAGGCACCTCCTTGTTCACCTCCATATCCACCACAATAAAGTCTACGGGGAACACAAACTTATCCACCCACACTAGAATATCTTCAATAATTCCCTCAGGTAAAATAGTGGTCTGGTCAGCCAGTTGTAGGGACACTGGTATTGATTTGATCACTCCAAGCTCACCTTCCAGTCTCCTGAATACAGATAAAGGCATTAGATTTATAGACGTCCCAGAATCATAGAGGGCCTTGTCAAACTTTGCACTCCCCAATAAGCATGGTATGGTGAAGCTTCCTGGATCCCCACACTTTTGAGGAATTTTGTTTTTCAATATCGCACTACAGTGGGCATTTAACTTGACCATTATTGTTTCCTCTAATTTTCTCTTGCTAGACAGAATTTCCTTCAAGAAATTTGCATAAGCATGCATCTGAGTGAATACCTCTGTGAAGGGAATGTTTACATAAAGGTTCTTGAGCATCTCCAAGAATCGCCCAAAACATTTGTCAAGTTTCTCTCGCTTCATATTTTGAGGGAATGGTAGATTTAGTATGTGCCTACTTTCTTCAATCTCCTTTTATACCCCACTACTCTGGCCTTTTTGCTCTTCATTCTTTTCTCTTCTAGTGTCTCAGTCTGCTTGTTAACAACCTCAAGTTTAGCCTTCACTATTGGGCCAGTCAATGCTTTACCACTTCTCAGAGATACAACTTTGATTGTTTCCTTTACGTCTTTTTAGTGTCAGAGGGAAGAGTCCCAAGAGCCTTCTCGGACAAAAAATTTGCAATTTGTCCCATTTGTCTTTCTAAATTCCGGATAGCCATGCCCTGAGTTTCAAATTTTTCTTCTGTTTTGTTGATGAATGCCTTCATGAGATCTTCCATATTTGACCTATTTGGCTGTGGTGACTGGTATTGCTGCCTCTGCTGGTTTTGAAAACGTGGTGGTCCTTGACCCTGGGGTCTGATATTATTTTGCTGCCATGAGTTCAAGCTCCCATTAGGTGAACTCCATGAAAAACCTGGATGTCTTTGACCCATAACATTATAATTGTTACCACCTTGGTAGTTTTCTCTATTGAAGTTCCCTACAGCGTTGACTTCCTCAATTATAGCTTGACACTCATGTGTAGGGTGTCCCAACCCACAGATGTCACATCCCACCTGTGGTTGAATTTGCACGTGAGCCATCGTCAGTTGCTTGATCTCCTTAGCCAGAGCTGCAATTTGGGCCTGCATTGCTACAGACGATTATACTTGGTGCACCCCTGCTGGTTTTATTCGATCCCCGTGATCTGTGGACCATTGTTCCGCATCCTCAGATAGTTCATTCAAAAGAGTGACAATCTTTTCAGGAGTTTTCTTCATCAGAGGACCCGCAACTGTACTATTAAGCAATCTCCTTGACAACCGGTTTAACCCATCCTAAAAGTCCTGAAGTTGCATCCATTGCTCCATTCCATTGTGAGGGCACCTCCACAGTAGCTCCTTAAATCTTTCCCATGCCTCAAACACTGTCTCTCCTTCAGCTTGGCTGAAATTGTGAATCTCCTTCCTCATCCTCCTAGTCTTAGCAGCCGAGAAGTATTTTTCCAGAAACTTGGTAGTCATTTCCTCCCACGTACGGATTGACCCTGTGGGCAGACTTCTCAACCACTGCTTTGCATCATCCTTAAGTGAAAAAGGGAAAGCTCTGAGGTAGATAGCATCATGTGATGCTCCATTGTAGCGGAATGTGTTCATAATTTCATCGAAATCCATTAGATGGTTGTTGGGGTCTTCATTGGGGTTGCCTCTGAAAATTCAATTGTTCTTAATAGTCTGGATGACTCCCTGTTTGAGTTCAAAATTATTGGCGTTGATGGGTGAGGGACTCACACTAGACTGTTGTTGGTTATACACCGGTCTAGCATAATCTCCTAGCGATCTCCCAGGCCTAGGAACTACATTTTCAAATTAATCTTCTATTATGTTTCGCTTGGGATTGAACCTTCGCTCCCCGTCGACAGTTTCCTCTGCAATTCTGGCTGCTTCAGTTGATATCCGTGCTTCCCGTTGCTGAGCTGCCTCTCTCGCAACTAGGTCCACTACCTCCTCGTTGTTTACCATTGTATCTTGAGTTGGAGGTTGACCCAACAACAGTCCACTCGATTCTTTCTCTCTTCTCAACTGCCTCAGGTATTTGTTTAACTCTGGGTTGTATGGCACCAAGTCCTTTGAAGAGGATCAATTCATACACCGCTGAACTTAACTTGTTGCCTGCTCACAGATGAGAAGAGCGTAAAAAAGGAAAATAAAATAAAGTTGTTCCTGAATTAGCATTGAAAATTAATTTAAACACTATTAATTGCCAATCCCCGGCAACAACGCTAAAATTTGATGAGCGCAAAACCGGTGTATAAAACGTAGGCTCACTAGTCAAAGATAGTATAGTATTAAATCGTCTCCACAAGGATTGGTTTAAATAATATTCTAATAAATTTTCAGCTCAACACTATACAGAATAATAAACCTTTGATTGATGTTATTATCAACTACAATTATAAATAAGATTATCAATTATGTGAACTAATGACACTTTAATGATTAGGCGCAACGATTGAATATCAGGGTGAGAAGTAAGGGTGATGACAAGATATGTGATAACCTATTGTTCCGGGCAACTCTGTGTTAAATTCATTCTTAACTTCTATTGATTCCTTCGGTTTCAAAAGATGATTAGGCTACTTCAAGGATTCAAATTCTTCTTCCGAATAAATATGATTCCTTTAATTAGCCTAATAATAGGTCCTACGAACATATGCACAAAAACAGTGAATGAACAATCTTTCGAAGAACACCTCTCGGTTATTCTTCCCAACTGAGTTAATTGATAACTCTCTAAGCTCTTTCGATTACCTAGAAAAGGCGTAAAATCAACTCAATTAAGATGGTACAATGCAAATAGCAACAAAAACTTCTCTTTCGATTGAAGTAAAACTACAATAAGCCTTGCAATTCAATTAATAACTCATTCAATAAATTCGGGCAATTAACATTGAGTAAATCCCAAAACAATAGTCAAATCTCACATCCGTCAATAACCCTAAGGAAGATTACTCCATAATAGAGAAAATATTCATGGCAAGAGTATTAGAAGAACAAGAAGACATTACAATTCACAAATTCAAACAAACTTTCGTATTGAGTGAATTGGATCAAGTATCTTGCTTTTTCGTTGCTTTTGTGCTTCTTCTCCCCGAAGAGTTGCTCTAAAAATCCAAGATCTCCCTTTTTTAGATGAGCTGGGCTTCATATAGGTCAAGGAAAGTCGCCTCCGAAATTACCAAAATAGGCTTGAGAAAGTTTTCCGGAACAGACGTGCGTGGCCGCGCACTTTGGTCAGTGTTCTGCTTCTCATGCGTGCCCAGTGCGTGGCCGCTCACTTCTTCGTTCTTCTTGTTGAGTGCGCTATTATTCGTTGATCCTCGAACACAATCCCAACTTACTCCACGGGTTTTTACTCAGACTTCAAAGCTTCATAATAGCTTGAATAAGCTCCATAACCTCATTGTACTCGGAATCGCTCATGCGAAGCATAAAATACACACTCAGTGCAAATTAATACCATTTAAAGCTCAAACATTAGTAAAGTGCAGCGAATTAGAGTGCAATTAGTGGCCAAAATACACAATTATAGCCTACCATCAATAGTAGGAATGACAAACGGGCAGGTCGGGTCGGATATGGTTCGGGTCGAAAATGGGTAATGAAAAAACGGATAAATTATCCGACCCGACTCATATTTAATACGGATAAAAAACGGGTTAACCGGCGGATAATATGAATAACTATATTATCCATGACTTCTTGCATATGATAACTTTTGGGAGAATTTTTAGTTTTCCTAACTTGAGGAACCCCCAATTTGAGGCTTTATAAATGTAAAAGTTAGACCCATTGGTTATCCATTTTCTAAATGGATAATATGGTTCTTATCCATATTTGACCCGTTTTAAAAAAATTTATTATTCAACTCATTTTTTAGTGAATAATTTGGGTGGCTAACTATTTTCTTTGAACCATTTTGCCACCACTGATCAATAGCTATCTCTTGTTAGTTAAGAACGACTATAATGATTTATTGACTGTACATCTTGAAGAATAAATATTTCAGGCAAAATACGCGATCATATATCCTCATCAATAGGCAATAATTTAACAAATTACCAAACAATTATACCAATAACTTAACCAATTATACCAAACTTTGCAAATTCCACTCGTAGAATCTCTGTGTTTCTTAAAGTTAGTACCTCTCTTTTTTCTTTCCAATCAAAGCTTACCTTCAGTAATAGGTTATGAAGAATTTTTCTTTTTTGTGTATGTTTTCTTGCGAGAGCTTTATGTACTGCTAATCTATCCAATTTCGCTTGCATAATCTCTCGGTACTGTCCCTTTGCCTCATTGTCGTTGTCATTGCTGATTAAATTGTCTTTCTTCACTTTCAAAAATTAGACTAGTAATATTTTATGTTTGAAATAGTATTGTTAGTTAGTCATACCTATCTCTTTCTTCAGTTTCAAATTTAAATTGATATGTTCAAATTAGCTAAATAGCTTACGCACATTATGCTTTTTTTTTTTTGCTTTGATACTTATCTACAGCATTTGTGAAGGCATCTACAATTCCATGGATTTTTGGTGTGCTGGGAGCAAAGTAGGGTTCTAAATTTTCCTGCCACAGAGAAGTAGACAAAAGGAGCTTTTTTATGCTCTTCGTCAACTTGAGTAAGTTTTCTGTTCATTCTCTTTTTGATGTGATATGCTTCAGCTTTACCTTAGGAGGTTTTAGTTTGATATATTTGCGGCTGAAAGAATCCAATTTTTTTTAAACCATTTTGGGGATTTGGAATTTGGTAAGCCCTTAAATTTTTGTCCAACTCTGGGATCAAGAAATTGATGGAGAAGACTCAGGAAAAAACTACTAAAGCAATTCGACAAATGCATTAGCATGTACTTTATTGGCAATTTCTTTGGTTTCTTCTGAATGATTTACCTGCATTTGCTATTTTGTTACCTTCCTCCCCTTCCCTGCTAAACTCCTCCGAACAAACATGCTAAAAATTGAACATTACTATGTGGGATAGAAAGCCTATTTATTGTTTAGGAGCCTAGTCCAGCTAGTATACGCTTATCTTCTTGGTTCATGTTTGGGTTGTATTCATAAGAATTAAGATCTCCTAATTTCCAAGTATTGGCTAGCATGTTTCACTTAAGAATGCTTAACTCTAATTGTTTTCAATGAATGTTATAAAGAAACAAGATGCTTCTTTGTGGTATTAGAATCAGTCCACAGACTAACATATCAGTGTATTTTTTATCAATGAGTTCTACGACTGCTTTAATAGATGTTTGTTTTCTCTATCTTGTGAATTTCTATGTTTATAACATCGTAGAAAAGGCCCGGACCAGAAAGCAGTCAAACTCCACCCAAGGGGTGTTGTTTATACTTTCTTTCTTCCGATTATTAATGCTTTCGCTTGTTTGACACTATTGCAATCTGAATTCACGATCAGTATGGTTGTGAAGAGCATAATGATATGATTTAAGTCTACCATTATCAGCTTATGTCAATTCTACAGCTGGACCTCACCTATGAAAGAGATAACCGATACCTTTGTTGATTCAAAAAGGAATGGGAGGATGGTCTATGATTTGCGAATGGCTCCAACTTATTAAGGCATTTATTTTGACAATTAAAGAAACTTCACTAGAAGATCACAAGCATACACCTTATTACCATTTGCAACGTATTGCAAACTTGTGTTCAAACATAATAAGAGGAGGGATATATTAATTGGCAAGTTTTAGCTCCAAAGTTCTAAGATGATATAGGATTATAGACATCAGGTGCAGTAGGTTCCTTATTTTCAAATTTCTGTTTTGATCTCTTGAGTCCTTGCCATCTGAATATAAACAACGAGTATATTCTTTTTAAACAAATGACTGACGAGCTTTAGGCTTTTTAAGTAAAAGTATGGTCAGATTGTACTTCCTTTTACAGCACTCTTGTTTAGTAATTATTATCACTGGTCACTAGCTGTCACAGCTGAGCTCTCATTCGATACTAGTGATGTAAAATGAGAGTTCAGTTTAATTACTAATAAAGCAGTTGCTAGTAACTTCAGCTAAGTTTAATGTTGCTCTGTGCATAGAGTTCCATGACCGTCTCTTGTTAATTGCAACTTGTGGATATGCTACAAAGGAAAGATGTCGTTGTTGAAAGCAATCATCCCTTGTCCTTATTGTATATTATATCAAGGGTTTGATTAAATGTATTTGAGCTTTCTAGAATGAAGCAACTAATTTAAGGGATTTGCTAACTTGACACAGGATTTCTGCTATGAGTTATTGGAGTTGCTGGTTCTTTATAATTTGCACTTGAAGCAGTTTGCCGATTTTACTTTCGGTTCAAGTCACCCAGATATAACCAGGATAAAACTGGAGCCACTGATGGGAACTGAATCTTAGGCTTGCTATCGGAGTTTATCAGAATTATTCTGCTCAGATGGTAAGATGTTTAATGTGTCTTGCTTAGGATGTGATGCTGAAGAATCCTAACTCTATGCTCATTAGCCTGCATTGCACTTAACTCATGTCTATTTATTCTGCTTATTGGAAGTTATGCCTACTTATTCTTATTTCTGAATTTACCAATTTTTTTCCGCATACAATTATGCTATGCTCTTTTTTCATTTTTTTTTTATTCACGAATTCTAAGATGTTCTGGGAATTGCTCCAACTCAAATAAGAGTAGGAAAAAGTATAAGGGGCTCATCTTATGAAACCATCATTTAGTTTAGTTTGCTCTAATTGATTGGTTTGTAAAGTCTTGATGCATGTTTTGTGCTTGAGAAACCTCTATATCATTTTGGGAGAGTATGTTGGATAACAATGGGATTGGGAAGAAAATAAGTGAAATAGTTGAACAAGTAATCTGTCGATTAAGCTAAAGAGAACAACTTGTGTCAGATTGGAACTCAGCCAAAAAGAGGGGAAGAAGAAGAATGTGCAAGAGAGGGAGAAAGAGGAATGGTTGAGACAGAGTACATATGCCTTGTGGCCGGTAGAAAAACAGGGGACAAATCAAGCTCAATCTGTCAATCACTAGCTAAATTAACTCCAGTATCATTGAAGAAATGTTTCCCAGTTAGTAACGATGTTCAGTAACATGTCGTGTGAGTATTCAAAAGTTAAAAAGTTGATCTCTTATGCTTGTGTTGTGCCCCCTGAAGTCTTCAGCAATAGAATCTAAAGCTTCGAATTAATATTTAAAAACCTTTGGAGGGTGAAAGGGTGGGTTTTTTTCTTTTGCTTCTTTAACAATTTTGGATTCATACACCCTTAGTATTATTAGGTGACACTACACTATTGAGCTACTAATTTTTTACTATTGATGTTGGAACTCTTTTTGCTTCTCATAAGATGCTCCATTATGACTTAAAATAAAGTCTCTTTTATATTTACTCTAAAGCAAAAGTGATGACTTTGCTCATTTGCATAGAAGAATCATAGAAACATAGGCTAAAAGAAAACATCTAACCCCAATGAAAGATGGAAGGTAGAATTGACGAGGAGACCCCTTAATTTGAGAGGTCCCAAAGTTATCTACTTTCTGATAAGACCATAAAAATGTATTTGCAAAAAGGAAAAACATGGAACAAGATCTCTTTTGTCGCCTACTCCCCTTGAACCCTACTTTTTTGTTCGCCGTAAACATCTGGAGTTGGATAACATCCATGGACTGTATCAGAATAGGTAGAAAGACTAGTTGAATGCTCCATAAATTGTTCCAACTTTAGATTTTGATGTGTTTCTTGAGGAACCATCCAATTAATTGGCTCCGCGTAAGCCAGTCCATTGTTTGGTACAGCATCCTGTGCATAGTTGTCTATCATATGATAACCAAAGTTTAAACCATGTTCATCATTTGTAGCATCAACACTTCCATTTTGGTGATGCTCGAACGATGAGTACATCGAGTCTGCATTTCCAACTAGTTTTAATTCATTGGAGGATGCCATTGGATTGTCATTCAATAAATGGTTCTCTATATAGTTTAGCACTACATTATCTTGATTATGTCCCGTCAACTCATTTTGTTGATACATAGCTTGATAATTCTGTGTTGGAATACCCAAATTAGCTTGTGGTGTTGTAGAAACGGGCAACATTCCAATAGTTTGATTTCCCATTGCAACATTCACCAAGTTGTTTGGTCCTTGGCGCAAAAGCACCCTCCTTTGGTTGGTGTTTGCATAGTTACTTCTCCTCTCACCTGCATTCACAACAGTCATCACTCATTAATCGACTTTAATGGGTCATAACCCGTCCCACCACTTCAAAATCAAACTAATGGAAGCTGGGACAAACTTTTTTATATGGGTTAGTTGAGTTATGTCAAGAAACACCCGCCAATGAATATATACTTAGCTAATGAACATATACTTACCCAAAGTGGCGAAGCTAGAAATTTTCCCAAGAGTGTTCAGACTTGAAAGGAAAGGTATTTTCCATGAAGGCTTTTCGATATATGTTATATATATCTAAAATCTAATATTTTTTCTTAATATTTCGACGAAGAGCAAAAGGTGGCTTCGCCCCTGCTTACCCAACATGTCCAAGTCAAGGTGGCTAAACTTTTTATGGACAAAATTGACACCTCTAGAGTGAATCACTATGTCCACATGCTCAATATAATAAAATTAAAAAGTTATATAGAATAATTATCATTCATACCTGACACTGAAAAACTTGAATTGAAATGTCTGACAGGTGCCATCGTTGTTCTTTTATTATGCATTGGATGGTTAGGGATTAAAACAGAAGAAGAGAAACGAATAGGATGATGCATCTTGGGGAAAAACTGGGATCCATATCTATTGTCAAAGAAATCTGAAAATTCAGGAACATCTGATTCAAAATAAGGAGATAATTGGCTAGGGAAAGGTTGTTTGCTTAGTTCATTCAGCCTTGCATCATAATGTAGTAGCTTCTCATAGTGCTTGTCAAGTACTCCGGGAGGAAATCTAATCCAGTGCCTCCTAAAAAATATAAGTTAAAAAAAATTATTTACAAGTATTTTATTTTCTAATAGAGAAAAAGAAAACACATAAAATAGAGAATCATATAAGTAACTAGTTTAATTTTATGAAAGGGAAAGTTCACCTGTAAGTGGGAGCTTGGCCTCCAGTAAAATCTGATGTCTGCTGCCATAATGTGTGCTTTCGAGGTTGAGGATTTGTTTCACGATAAAAGTAAGGTGGTTGGTTCAACTGTATAAATGGTAATTATATGTGGTAAAAAATAATTACATCCAAAATTACAATAACATTAATATTTTTAACAAAAGGAAAACAATTAAGGACTATATTAAGAGAGAAAAGAAATTAACCTCAATCTCGAGAACTCCTGATTGATCATTTTGTAGAATGATGGCTCTAATAGCAATGATATCTGACCATTGCATTTCAATCTTGCTCTTCAGTGGTCCATCTAGAATTTCCCATACTAATTTTCGCTTAGCATAATAACATTTTGCTATCAAATCACCTTCGTACCTTGAAACTCTCTGCCAAATATTTCATTAATTAGTTTACTTCAATCAATCAGTTATAATTCAATTTTTCAAACTAGTTATGATTGGTTTATATTAATCATAAATCATTTGCACCATTTGTAATGTTTAATATGGACATGTTCTAAAATTTTAATATTGCACAAAAATTATGATTACATTATTTTAATTATGTTGACCGTTAACCTAGCAAATAATTTCTTTATCTAGATTTGGGTGTGCTATGCGAATAATTGTTTTAGTCAATTATGCTAATAAAAAGTTCGTCTAACTCTGTTTAGATAGACACTTCATTTTTGAAATAAATTGCACTAGAGTTTATCATTAGTTGTGTAAAAATTATGAAAACTTGACAGCCGGTTCTTGTTTTTATATTTTGTGGTAATAAAGTGCTTTTACAGATTGGTGACATGTTATCCATAACCAGGTCCTACATTTTAATTATCTGTCATACTGGAAATAAAAAATAAAAAGAACTATACTTCATTTGTCAAAGATCAATGTCTAAAATTTAAGATAAAAGCTGTGTGATAAGTATATATATCATTAAAAAGTTTTATGGTTTAATCAAGTAATGATACTAACTACTACAGTATTATTTTAATTTGTTTAAAATATTTTATGACATGCAAAAGCTCAAACAAGTTTTACCTCCCAGTCACCAATCTTGAGCTTTATAGCAGGGAAGTTGGAAGCCTTCAATTTTTCAGAAACAGCAGCAAAATCCTCCATCTTTGACCTATTTCTATTAGCATTTTTCGAAGAATTCATTTGATTTCCTTTGCGAGAAGAATCTGCTGGTCTTCCCAATTGGCGCGGAGGACTGCTAGAAGAACTTCCTTTCTTTCCTTCTGAAAGTTGTGTTTCTATTAAGTTCAAAAAAGATGGCGTCTTCTTTAGTGCCAGACCAAGAAGGTTTGCCTCATTGACAAAATTCATTTCTCCATCCTGCAAAAATTCAATAATTAATTAATGTAGTTATGAAAGAAGAAACAAAAATATCTACTAACAAATTGTTTTTCATTTTTTACAAATCAAATAATGGTTGGTTCGTTTTTTACTGATTAATTTCTTGAATTACTTTATTTTTACAAGCTAATGAGATGTTCATATCTATGTTCTCTATAGATACAAAAAGTGAAAACAAATGGAGTGGAAATGAACAAATCATCCGCCAAAGATGAAAACAAAGCGCAATCGATCTAACATGAAGTTATATTTGGTTTTAAAAAAATATGTATGAGATTATTAGACAACAAGAAATTGAACAAGATTAAATAAAATGAACAAATGTGGATTCAAAGTGGATGAGGGGCCAAGGTGTGCCGACCTAAAAAAACATGTGCTGAAAGGACACATATAAAAACCTAAAAAAAAAACATGCTGATATATAAAATAGAAAAAAGAAAAAGAAAAAGCAACCATGCATGTTGCAACTTAGATTTAAAACCTTGAACATGTAACGAACCTCTGAATTAGATTCTGGTGACGGCCTGAACCGTTTGGGGCGACCATCTTCATCTGAATCTGAGCTCATACTTCGGCTTTTTAGTCGAAGGCTGGTGTTTAGATAGCCAACGCGTCCATCATAATCGTTAACTTGTGGGTTCATAGATTCAAAGTTTTGATGAAGCCGTTGCTCAGAAACAGTAGCAGCATATTTATCTCGGGGAACCATAGAGAGAGAAATAAACTCAACTGAAAGAAAAAAGGGAACGATTAATTCTGAGTTTTTTTGACGAGAGAATAGTTGAAAGGAAGAACTAGAAAAAGGAGGGAGGAGGAGGATGCAGAGTGAAAAGGGTCACTTGTTTATATTGAGAAGAAGCCAATAGTATAGTGATTGTGGATATAAAGGACTCTGTCTGACTATGTGAAGTCTTTAATTTTTGTAGGGATTTTTTCTATTGGCGGTAAAAACAAAAAAAGTCAAATTCCATTTTTTCTTTTTTCTGAAAAATGTGGTAAATCTGCTTTTACCCCTCTTTTCCATTCTCGTCTAACAATTAAAGAAGCATTTGTTACTTTTTAGTGGAATATAATTTTTTTTAATTGGATATCGGATTTATCAGCCAAATCTTCTATCAGATTCCATTAACAAATCGCAATAAAGATCACAAGTCTTGCATTTCATGTGTGAGGAGTTTTGTCGTTATTAGAGTGTAGATGGCTAAAAAAACGTAAAAGAACTCTAATTACTACTACTTCATTTACTTGGTCCTCGAAAAAAACATTGGTCTAAAGTTCGACGATGCTCTGGCAACTAGGAGTAGCACTATATATAGTAATATGTATTAGTAATAGTGAGAATTGTGTACTTTTTGGTTTTTGTTTTGTGGAGTATAGATCTATGACATATTTGTTTATGTTATGAAATTAAAACAATTTAGTAAAATATGAACAAGAAATGTTGTTATGAAATAAAATCAATTTAGTAAAACATGAACAAGAAATAGAGATAGAGAAAAGGAAGAGATTTTCTTCTTTAATTGTGTGTATTTTCCTATCTTTTACAAGGCCTTTATATAGGCATGAAAAGTGAAGAATCACTATTGCAAAATATGTCATTGAACATGTCATTAAGCATTTGAGAGGAATCACTATTGCAAAATATGTCATTGAACATGTCATTAAGCATTTGAGAGGAATATCATGGAGGAGGTTATGGAGTTACAATCATAACTCCATAATTATTAGAGTATTGGGAGTTATGGAGATAATGGAGAAGAGTAGACATCCACCATAATTTAATTTTCTTATAACACTTACCCTTGGATATCCATAGATAATGTGCCTCGTTAAAACCTTATTAGGAAAAAACCTATGGGAAAAAAATCCCAATGAAGGAAAAAGAGTACACATGTTTAGAAATACGCCTTTGTCACGACCCAAAACTAACCCCTGTCGTGATGTCGCCTATCGTGGAACTAGGCAAGTCGACTCATTTCCAAAACAAACCAATATTTTTATTTTAAAGATAATTCCAAGGTTATTTAACATAAAACCTCCATTTAAAGAGTTCAAATCAAAGAAAAACAGAAGTGCGGAAAAGAAAAGCCCGACATCAGGGTGTCACTAGTCATGAGCATCTGCTACAATCTGTCTAACAATATCAAGGCTAACTCAGCCTAGAAAATAGCTAAATACAACTAGAGGAAGATAAGAGGGAGAAGAGCAGGAGCTGCGATCGCCAAACAACTACCTTGCTATTTCCAAGAAAATCTGCAACCAGAACACTCAATAACTGCTACCGTGTCCAGCTATACCTGAATTTGCACACAAGGTGCAGGGAGTAACGTGAGTACGCCAACTCAGTAAGTAACAACAATAAATAAAGATTGAGCAGTAGTGACGAGCAATAAAGCATATAACGTTCATCAGGAAATCTCAGTAAAATACCACATGCTTTTAACATCAGGATTTCAATCAAACATCTCGTTTAAACCCAGTTCCAGTAAAAAATCATTTAAAGATATTTTTCCAACACTTTTTTTCCAACAAACGCTCAATGCAAAGGTGAGCAAAAATGATGAAATCATAAACAACCCCTCAGGAAAAACATCACTCATATACAGCCCCTCGGGCATACCTCACAGTCACTCTTGCCACTCGGGCATACCTCACAATCACGCTTACCACTCGGGCATACCTCACAATCACTCATACCTCCCAGTCACTCAGCACTCGACACTCGCACTCAGTAGGTACCTGCGCTTACTGGGGGTGTGTACAGACTCCGGAGGGGCTCCTTCAGCCCAAGCGCTATAATCTTCACGGACAACTCACGTGCGATAATAATAAAATATGCTGCAGGCGAGCAGCCCCGATCCACACTCATCCTCACAAATCAGGCCCTCGACCTCACTCAGTCATAAGTATGCTGCAGGCGGGCAGCCCCGATCCACACTCATCCTCACAAATCAGGCCCTCGGCCTCACTCAGTCATAAGTATCTCAAGCCTCTCGGGCATTTCAGTAAAACAGGGCATTCGGCCCAAAATATTTTTGTGCATCAAAATAGAGTCATAAAACTGAGTTATGCGGTAAACAAGTATAAACATGACTGAGTATAGATTTTCAATCGAAAACAATGAGAGGATGGTAAAAAACAGCCCCTAAGGATCCAAACAGCATTGGCGCAAGGACCACACATGGCATTCAGCCCAATTTACAGAAATTCTTTCTAAAACATATAAGTATCAAATGGTTTCAACAAAGTATGCAACTTAACAGTTGCTACGGGACGGACCAAGTCACAATTTCCAACAGTGCACGCCCATACGCCAGTCATCTAGCATGTGCGTCACTTCAAAATAATAGAATGATACGAAATCCGGGGTTTCATACCCTGAGGACTAGATTTACAATCGTTACTTACCTCAAACCGGTCATATCTCTAACCCGCAATGCTCTTGCCTCTGGACTCGGCCTCCAAATGCTCAAAATCTATTCACAATCAGTACAATACCATCAATACGCGCTAATGGAATGAATTCCACAAGAAAAACTACAAAAATTAGACCAAAATCCGAAATTGGCTCAAACCCGACCCCCGGTCCCACGTCGCAAAATCCGACAAATTTTACAAAACTAGAAAGTTCATTCACTCACGAGTCTAACCATACTAAATTCAACAAAATCCGACATCGTTTCCTTCAACTCCTTAAATTACTCTCCAAAAATTTCAAGCCCTAATCCTTCATTTTCACTAATTACCATGATTAAACAACAAAAAATCACCATATATATAAGTATTAGGGCTCAAGTAACTTATCTCAACGAAGCCCCCGTGATTCCCTCTTCAAATCTCTCCCAAAAGCTCTAAAAACCGAATAGAAATGGTGAAGAATGCACCAAAATCGCGAAGGGTTCTATTTATGGTTTCTGCCTAGGTTTTTCGCACCTACAACCATTTTCTCGCACCCTCGCGACCGCACCTGCGGTCTAAGAAGACACACCTGTGCAACTTACTTAATCACCCAAATTTCGCACCTGCGGACCCCTTCCTCGCATCTGCGAAACCAGTCCAAACTTCTCATCTCCGCATCTGCGCTCAAAGCCTCGCACCTGCGGGCTTGCAGATGCGGCCAATTCTTCGCACCTGCGTTCCCAGCCTTGGCCCAGAGTCTCTCGCACCTGCGCACTCCCCACGCGCACCAGCGGCCTCGCACCTGCGACCCTTTCTTCCGCAGGTGCGGAAATAGCAGCTCCAGCTGTAATTTCCAACTTCAACAAATCCGTTAACCACCCGGAATCACCCCGAGGCTCTCGGGACCTCAACCAAAAATACCAACANAAATTTCTAATTTCGTCAATTCAAGCCTAATTCTATCACGGACCTCCAAATCACATTTCGGACGCACTCCTATGTCCAAAATCACCTAACGGAGCTAACAGAACCATCAGAATTCAAATCCGAGATCGTTTACACATAGGTCAACATCCGATTGACTTTTTCAACTTAAGTTTCTACTTAAGAGACTAAGTGTCTCAATTCACTCTGAAACCACTCCGGTCCCGAACCAACTAACCCGATATAACATAATACAGCTGAATAACACAAAAGAAGTAGAAATGGAGAAAACGGGGTTGTAACTCTCGAAATGACCGGCCGGGTCGTTACAGCCTTTTGGTTGCCTCGTTAAAAACCTTGCAAGGAAAACCCTATGGGACAAAAACCTTATAAGGAAAAAAGAGTATAACACATATTAAATCCCCCTGATGAGAGCATCAATTCACATCCCTGAGCCTTCGCATCCCAATCTTGTATACTAGTTTCTTGAAGGTTGACATCAATAGAGATTTGGTGAACAAATTAGCCATATTATTACTTAAACGAATCTGTTGCACATTGATATCACCATTCTTTTGAAGATCATGTGCGAAAAATAACTTTGGTGAAATGTGTCTTTTTCTATCTCCTTTTATGAATCCTCCCTTCAATTGGGTTATGCATGTTGCATTGTCTTCATACAAAATTATGGGTAGTTTGTCACACTTCAAACCACATTTGTCTCGAATAAGATGTATTATAGACCTCAACCATACACATTCTCGACTTGCTTCATGAATAGAAAATATCTCAGCATGATTAGATGAAGTAGCCATGATTTATTGCTTAGTCGATCGCCAAGATATGACAGTGCCTCCACATGTAAACACATAGCCATAAAATAAGCCCATATCGGTAGTCCCTTTGAGATAACGCAATATGTGTTTGATTCCATTCCAATGTCTCCTTGTAGGAGCAGAGTTATATCTTGCCAAGGCATTAAATAAAAAAATTATGGCAGGCCTTGTAGTGTTAGCAAGATACATTAATGTCCCAATTGCACTAAGATATGGTACTTTAGGACCAAGAAGCTCTTCAGTATTTTTATGAGGTCGAAATGGATCTTTATTTATATCGAGTGATCTCACAAGCATCGGGGTACTCAATGGATGTGCTTTATATAATACATAGAATCGCTTTAAAATCTTTTTAGTGTATGCTGATTGATGGATAAAAATTCCATCTGTCATATACTCAATTTGTAGACAAAGACAAAATTTTGTCTTTCTAAGATCTTTCATTTCAATTTCTTTCTTTAAACAGTCTACTGCTTTAGGAAGCTCACCAGGAGTTCCAATGATATTTAAATCATTGACATACACATCAATTATAACAAATTCATATCCTTTTATAAGGACAAATTGAATCATTCTTGTACCGTTCTTTCAACAGGTACTCACTCAGGCGATTATACCACATGTTGATTGTTTCAATCCGTATAATGATTTTTGAAGATTTATTT